GATTCAAAGGAAGTTGCAATAAAATGGTTCCATATAGGGAATCTAGTTTCTAGGTTTTAAAACCTTTTCTATTTCAGTCTTTTCTGCACCCTGGTTAGTTGGCCTTTATAAATAGCTATTGTTTGTTTTATTTGAGATTATAGATTTATGATCATTTTACATAAAGTAGAAATTTTAGTAAAATAAATTCCAAATTAGGGATAGGAACTGAATAGAGAGAGGGAGGTATAGATTTTGATAAAAGCTTAGGAATAATAAAGATTAACTCAAAACTGTATTTATAGTATGGATTCAATGTAAGATTAAATGTCACTACAGCTAACTTTGTCTCTGGTCTGGTTTTCTGTTGAACCCCATGGGTGCAGCAATGCAGGGTCTGCCGTGGGGGTAAATGGCCTTGTAGAGCAGTGGGTGTGTCAGACCAAGAAGGCGTCCGGGATGCAGACTTTGTTCTTTATGTTGGTGCTCTGGCCACTGAGAGGTGCAGCCATGAAAACATCATCTCTTATGCAGCCTATTGTCAGCAGGAAGCAAAAATGGACAGGTAAACTTTCCTTTGAGACTCATTTCCCAAGATCTACTATGGGAACTTGTAAAGCAAACCGTATTTTAAGTGTTAGGGAAACAGGAATCTAGCATTTGCTGGATTTCCTCCAGTAGTAAGAAATAGCATGCTGCCTGGATTTTGGGTGGGGCCAGGGAGACAGTGATAGGACTGTTACTCTTATGGTAATGGAAATTTTTAGTCAAAATGAAAGAGAGAAAAGTGGAACACTTCCTTTAACTTTTCCCCCTGCCATTCCTCTTCCATTCCAGTCATATCCTTTTTAGCCACAAATTCCAAAGAAAAAGTCTACTGTCAAGAGAATTTTCTTTTGAGGTGAATACCTCTCTAAGGAAACAATTTGAACTTTAATTTTAATACTTCTGTGCTAAAACTGTAAGTCAGATGTTAAAAATGTTCATCTAATTGTCATATCATTTGTTATAAGTACTTCACTTAGCTAAATTATCACCTAAAAATTCAGAGTCCTGTTTATTTACAAAAAATTTCCCAAATTTTTCTGGTGAAGCAGCTCAGCCTTGGAATGGAAAGTTATCATATACTCAGAAGATTACCTGTCACATACCAGACAAATCAATTAAAGACAGTAGAAATTGCCACATGCCTTGTAATACTGCAGTCCCCAACCCCCGGGCTGCGAACCTATACTGGTCCGTAGCCTGTTAGGAACTGGGCTGCACAGCAGGAGGTGTTAGGAGGATGAGCAAGCGAAGCTTCATTTGTATTTACAGCTGTTCCCCATCACTGACATCACCACATAAGCTCCACCTCCTGTCAGATCAGTGGTGGCATTAGATTCTCATAGGAGGGTGAACCCTGCTGTAAACCGTGCATGCAAGGGATCTAGGTTGTGCGCTCCTTATGAGAATCTAGTGCCTGATGATCTGAGGTGGAGCTGAGGCGGTGATGCTAGCAATGGGGAGCAGCTGCAAACAGAGGTTATCATTAGCAGAGAGGTTTGACTGCACAATAAATGTAATGTGCTTAAATCATCCCAAAACCATTCCCTCCGCCCCCTCAGTCTATGGAAAAATTGTCTTGCATGAAACCTGTCTTTAGTGCCAAAAAGATTGGGGACCTCTGTTGTAATACATTGTATGTAACATTCTCAAATCTAGGAGAGGTTAGTGTAACTAATTCATGTGTATGTGAGGACCATTGCTGAGGTGCTGAACATCTATCCATCTTTCAAAAATTAGCGGACTTTAAAGAGCTAAAGTCACTTTCACTGCTATTGGTATGTTCATTTAAGGAAAAAATGCAACTATTAGTTGAACCAAGTCAGCAATGCAAAGGAAACACTGATACATGATTCAGAATTATACTGTCAATTCTGAAGGTGCTGACAAGGTCAAAATCAGCAGCACGTATTATGAAAGTAGTCTGTTACCATGATATTATGTAATTGTTGATTGGCGAAATGGACTAAAAAATCTTTAGACTGAATATTGAGAAAGCTTAGTGTCAACTATTGAGTGTGCTACTGCAGAAGAAACATATTTTTGTGAATATTTATGTGCTAGTGTTCCCTTTTTCCTGAGAAGCTGTCATTAAATTTATGATATGTAATTAATGGTGTCTCAGTATCAAGGAAATGTAGTATTTGAAATGGTAAGTGAATGATAAGTTACTTGATAAAATGAGATACTTTCTTAAAGTGTCTTTGAGAAATATACCTTCATAATAGCAGTGCTGCAAAATCATGGTTCTTTATCTTAATTTGAACTAAACTATATGGATAGCATACACACACACACATACTATCTTAGGTTGGGTATATTATGAGTGCCAAAAGGATATTTTGCAAAATATTGTACATACTTTGATTCCATATTTATCTTTAAATCTATATATGTGCTTGAATGTGCTAAGGAAAAAGCGAGAAATAATTAGGGTTATCAGTCATCCCAATTTGCCCAAACTGCTCTGGTTTTAACACTGAAGTCCCACATCCCATGAAACCCCTCAGTCCTGGGATGGCTGGTCACTCTAAAAATAATGCATAGCAAATTGTTGATAGCAGTTCCCTCTGATAGTGGAATTTAGTCAGGGTAGAATATAAAACAGGGAATTTTCACTTTTTTCTTTATACATTTCTGATATTGTTTGAATTTATACCTTTTTACAATGAGCTTTTATTACTTTAATTATAAAAGACATGTTAAAATGAACTTTATGTGTTAGGAACAGAGTGACTTCCCTGAGGAAGTGAGGAGGAGGATATAAAATCTTGGGTTGAGTTGGGTCTAGATCAGTTAATCTTATGTCAGCATTTTTGTTGTTGCTGTTTTTTGAGACAGGGTCTTGCTCTGTTGCCTGGGTTAAAGTGTAGTGGTGTCATCATAGCTCACTGCAACCTCAGACTCCTGGGCTCAAGCAATCCGTCTCCCTCAGCTTCCTGAGTAGCTGGGACTACAGGCATGTGCCACCATGCCTGACTAATTTTTATATTTTTTTGTAGAGAGGGGGGTCTCAAACTCCTGGCCTCAGGCGATCCTCCCACCTTGGGCTCCCAAAGTGCTAGGATTACAGGCATGAGACACTGTGCCTGGCCTTTATTTCAGCATCTTGATAATGCCGAAAGCACTTAAAGTATCTAATTGTCTTCTAGTGAGAGAATCCAGAATAGGAGTCACACAGATGAGAATCCCATAACCAAGAGACGTGTTTCAGTTTCATTGCACTGCTGTGTTTACTTATGGCACTTTAACGTTTGGTTCATCTTTGATATGAATGTGTAGCTTAAAGAATAAATGCTCTTTGTACCAATGAATATGAAGCTATTCCTATATGTCTACTTATATCTGGGGAAAGATTTTAATTTCTTCTGAGAAGAGTGTTGATGTTGGAAGAAAGCAGTATCTTCATTTATTCTTTTTGAAAGAAATGAAACTTTCCTTCACAGCTGCTGTACTGCATTAATTAATTCCATGAATATTTGAGTACCTACTGTTTCCAGCAGACTAGGTGAACAAAATAGACATGTGTACCTGCCTTATGGAATTTACAGATTACAGGAGGTAGATATTAATTAGTTATATATTCTTGCAAATAAATATGTGATTTCAAAATATGATAAATACTTTGTAGAAAATGAACAGGGTGCTGTAACATAAAAGCAAACAAAGGGAGGAAACATCATTTAGATCAGTTGGGCAAGGAATGCCTCTTTGAAAGAGAAATTGTAGCTGTTACCTGAACATTGATAGGCTTTAGCCAAATAAAGAGGTAGTGGAAGAGCTTATGTTAAGAAAAAGCCATGTGTACCTGTTGCTGTCAGGAGCCACTTCAGTGGACTGTTGGAGGGTGAGTGCTTGGAGAGGCAAACAGGACTCTTTTATTCTGAGCACTGTAGGAAGTCCCTGAAGGGTTTTAAGCCTGGTGGCATCCACTTTATATTTTAGAGGTCACTGTGGCAATGTTGTTATACGTGAATTATATTCATACTTTTTCTAAGTCTATTGCTATCAAGTCGGAAGGAAGTGTACTGTATTTTTTAAATTTAAATAAGGCAAATGTTCTTTGTAAGTAGGCAATCATACTCTGGTGAGGTTTGTGATATTTCTGTGGTAAAAAGTGAAGGTAGTGGTGCGAGAAAGGATCTTGGGGTTCCTTATCATTGTCCGTTTGCCATAGCGTTTGAAAGACAGGTGGTGCTTGGTGGAACTGAGTGAATTATTCTAGACTCTGGGTCCTAGTCTTCTCTTGGACTCTCAGATTCTAGGCACAGACAGAGATGTAGAATTCTATGGATTCTAGAAGATGATGCGAAGGTAAAAATCTTTCTATGCATGTAGGTAGTGTTAGGGCAGGAGAGAGGGAATAGCAAGATGGAGATAAGAAGGATCAATAGCTTTCCACAAGCTAAGCGGTTTGCTTCTTGCCTGCCCTGTTGTGTAGCTGGTTTCCCTCTCTACCTGCTTGTGAATATAGTGGAATGCGGAGGTCAAATATGGATTTTGCAAGTAAAATAGTGTTAGAATTTAACAGTTTAATAGTGTTAGAATTTTCAGTTCATTCCTTTTTTTGAGTATTGTATTGACATATTTTAAAAATTCAGAGGAAAGTATAATCATCTGACTGCATCCTTTTGTGCAACCAGGTGTTGATTTGCTATGCCGTAGAAAAGCAGAGGGTTCATGTCTTGAAAGTAAAAGTGAAAGTAAGCTGTTGTGATGCAAAATTACATTTGATATTTAGCAATGATTTTTCTGTCCTTGAGCAGTTTTTGAATCAGAAGTACACATTAGTAAATATTGCAGTAAATATTTAATAAATAAATATTGGAATATAATTAAAAATTCAATGTCTATTTTACAGGCCAATAGCAGGATATGCTAACCTGTGTCCAAATATGATCTCTACCCAGCCTCAGGAGTTTATTGGGATGCTGTCCACAGTGAAACATGAGATTATTCATGCCCTGGTAAATTCTACTGTAACCTACTGTTATTTCTTCATGCCTTGATTTTCTGCTTTTTATGTTCTCATTTGGATGCACATACTAAATTTTAAGATTGTATGGATTCTTAGATTCATGTTGAGTAAAACTTGATTAATTAGGGCTCTGCCAATAAAGAGTTTTAATGATTAGGATAGTGGCTAGGTTGATTTTTGCTATCTAATATGATTAAACAAGTAAATCCATTGGGTAAATTGGATTTTTGAGAGAATAATTAAGCTTCTTAAGAAAAAACTTAGTAATTTAAAAAAATTCACTTTCCTCTAGAATGATAACTCATATGCTATTAATAATTATAGCTCTTTTCTATTTCTTACAGAGAGTTCATATCTAAAAATCTTCTTGATTTATTTGGGCTTTTTAAAATTTATATACATTAACTGATTCAGAACTTCTAATTCCTTTTCCCCAATTTGTCCAAAATAGTGAACTTTTACTATATGTCTAAAGAATTAAAAGAAGTTGCCTAAGACCCTACGAAATATTCTCTTGATGACATTCGTGTGTTTAGAGAATAGATGGCAGCAAAATGCAGTAGTTAAGAGAGAATGGATCACACAGACCTATGTATGAATCGTCTTAGCTCTATCACTAAAAATCTTTGGGATCTTGGGCGTAAATTATTTAGCCTTTGTAAGCCTCATTTTTTTTTTCTTAAAGATTAAATAAGACAGTCCCTATAAATGGCTTAGCACCATGTACACATAGTAAGGTGTAATAAAATCAGTGGCCATTACAAGCTCTAAGCAAGGGCACACACAAAAATTAATGTCTGTTATTTATTAGTCTCATTTAGTGAGCTATCATGTAATGCAAGCATCAGTCTTTAAGTTAGCAAATACATTGAACAAGGTGAAACTCAAGTGTAGCTAGATAGTACTTATGTCCTTCAAATAAGGAGATTCTAAAATGAAATATCTGTTTTCCTTTCATTAAAAAGATCTAATTTCAGCCTGCTAATTATAGTGAAAGACGAGTATCATCCTAAGCTCTAAGAACTGTAGATACTTGATGTTGAGAAAACCAGAGAAAAGCAACAGGGGTTAAGTCTAGTTTAAGTGAGCATAAATGCAGAGGTTCCAGACATAAGATATATTAGGTTATAAACAGGCAATTCACAAAGGAAAAAATCCAACCGCCTTAGAAATGTATAAGAAGGTCTTCAGTCTTACTTTAGTGATCACAGAATCTTAAAGCAAGACACCAATACCTGTCAGATTGGCAAAGGTTAACAATTAGTATTGTCAAGGACACAGGAAAATGGGAACTTAAATAATGAGGTGGAAGAGTAAATTTTCACAACCACTTGAGTGAGCAATTCAGCATTATGAAACTGTAACATGAAACTGTGCATATCCTATAATTCACAGATTCTATGCCATTCATGCTCAAAGAGATATAGACAAAGATATTTGCTGTAACTTTATAATAAAAATTTTTTACAACCTTATTGACAATTTTCAGTGGAATAGACAAATGTTTTATTCATAAAATGGAATATTATATAGCAGTTAAAA